GTGCTCGCTGGCCTGTACCTGTATGTACGGCTATGCACACGCACCCTCTTGCAGGAATAAATTTTGCTTTGCCAAGGTAATTTAGTCTCATCGAGTGTCTTTTACTTAACATCGGGATTCATTTCTAACGGTGGACTATGGAAAGGATCTTGGGAGCAGAAGTTGTGAGTCTGTACCAAGTTCTCCCAGTTAGCTTCTGTGTTCTTAGAGGGGTACTAGTTACTGTCTCCACAGGAACATGGCTAGGTACAGATGAAAGAGTCTACTACAATGCCTGGCACATATCAGGTGCTCAATAAAAATATAATGAATATGGGGAGGAGGGACGTGCTAAAAAAAGGTCGTGGAAAAACTTCACTATCTTTCCATTCTATTTTTCCATGAACTTTTCGAAGCCCCTTCATGTTCTGATGAATTTGAATTTATCTGCTGCCATTACAATTCATTCACTCATCCAATAAATGTTTACTGAGCATTTTCCAAGTGCCAGGAAATGGTGAGGCATGAAAATCACAGTGCTGAACAACAAGAGGCAAAGTTCCTGTCCTCAGGGAGCCCAGCAGGAGAGAAAAACTTAAGTAATCACACACAGTGTTGTACAGGGAGCCCTGCCGGCTCCACAAGTCATTGCTCAAGTGCTCTGTGTGAGAAGTGGAACTGGACATCTTGTCCCTCACCTGGTCCTCTCCCAGGATGCTCTCACATGAAGAGACCCAAGTTACCTGTCTCCCAAAGCCCTGGCAGTCAAGAAATCAAAAGACATATTGCTATTAGGCAAATCTGCACAAGACCTCTTTAAACTGTTCAGGAGCAAAGATGTCAATTTAAGGACTAACGTGCTCCTGACCCAAGCCATGATATCTTCAGTAGCCTCACATGTATGTGAAAATTAGAAAATGAATAAGAAAGACAATAAAAGAATTGATGCATCTGAATTTTGATGTTAGAGAAGAATATTAAAGGTACCATGGCTTTCCAGAAGAACAAGCAAATCTGTGCTAGAAGAAGTATATCCAGAATGTTCCTTAGAAGCCAAGATGGCCAGACTTCATCTCTCATACTTCAGACATATTATTAAGAGGGGCCAGTCCCTGGAAAAGGACATCATGTGTGGTAAAGTAGAGGGCTAGCAAAAAAAGAGGGAGACCCCCAATGAGATGGACTGGCACAGTGTTAGCAGAAATGGCTCAAAAGTAGCAGCAACTATGAGGCTGGCACAGGACTTGGCAGTGTTCTGTTGCCATGGTCTACAGCACCTAACAACAACAACAAATCCCTGAAGTCCAATAGGAAATCTTTTCACAGCCCTGTGCTCTATGGGTCCCCAATTTTGAAGCTCTTGCAGTCTGATTTTGAAGTCCTGGTGTGGTTATCTGCATGGTTGGTGGTTCAAACTCACTGGTTGCTTCTCAGAAACCTTATACAGGGTCCATATGAGTCAGTACTGACTTGACAGCACTTCATAACAATGTTGTTGTTGTTGTTGTTAAGTGCCATTGAATCGGTTCCGACCCATAGCAACCCTGTACAGGGTTTCCGAGGGTGTAAATCCTTACGGGAGTAGAAAGCCTCATCTTTCTCCCGTGGAGCGGCTGGTAGTTTCGAACCGCTGACCTTAAGGTTCGCAGCCCAATTCGTAACCACTACGCTACCAGAGCTCCTTAACAATAGCCGTTTGTTTTTGCCTACAGCTGTGATTTGAGGAATCGTAAAAGGTCAAACCCAAAACCCTCCTTCTCTACAGGCTGGAAATTCCCACCCATGGACACATTTTACCTAGGCCTATATTACAATACCCCTACACAAGCATCAGTTTATGTTTATACCACTATAAGAAAGGTTTTGTGTTCAATAGTTGGAAACATTTTTCCAGGAGTAGGAGTCAGACAAATTTTGAAATTAAAAAAAATGTACCCAGGGCAGATAAACTAGTTGGGCACAAAGAGAAGTATGAAGGGAATTATTTTTGCCTATAGAGCTTAAAGGTATATGATTCTATCTTGCATGATTTATGTGGATTCAAAAAAAATGCTTTTTGACTGGCTTTTAGAAATACTTTTTCTTAAGGGATGTTTTACATCGTGTGTAACCTGTTTCTAATCACTTTCAAACAAATGATAAAGAAATAGAGTTCCTCCCCATGCCACTATAACTAATCTTAGTTACATAGGGATTATCTATTCCTGCCTGTCCAAATTTGATACGTTTGAAATTCAGAAGGGTTTATGGTAGTACTGCCACTGGACAGAAGAGGGAGACAGACCCCATTTAGTGGGTTCATCCAAGCCCAAGAGGCGTCTTCTCTGCTACTTGTATCACACAACTCTTTGCAGCCTTCTAAGACGTATAGGACAGTGTTGTTTCCATTCCACAGGTGAGGAAACTGCGTCTAAGTGAGATTCATGTTTCCTCCAGATTGCGCAGCTGGGAACATTGTTGTTCTTGTGTGTTGTTGAGTCAGTTCTGACTCATAACAACGTTGTATAGAGTTTCTAAGAGCGGCTGGTGGGTTTGAACTGGTAGCGTAGTGGTTATGAATCGGGCTGCGAACCGCAAGGTCAGCAGTTCGAAACTACCAGCTGTTCCGTGGGAGAAAGATGAGGCTTTCTGCTCCCGTAAAGATTTACAGCCTCGGAAACCCTGTACAGGGTCGCTATGGGTCGGAACCGACTCCAAGGCACATAACAACAACATAGGGTTTTCAAGGTTGTAAATCTTTACAGGAGCAAAAAGCCTCGTCTTTCTCCTGCAGAGCAGTTGGTAGATTCAAACAAATGACCTTGCAAGTTAGCAGCCCACCTTCTAAGCCTCTGCCCCCCCAGATCTTCTTGTTCTCATGGCTAGGGTTAGTGAAAAGTCATCCTGCGCTGAATGTTAGGCCCTAAATCAAAACCTGAGTCTAAACCCTTATCCTACTTGGGAGGTGGTTTCATAGAATGGAGGAGGCTAGGGAAGGTACTCTGGCCAGGCATTATTCAGTGCAGTATCTCACTTAATTGTTCCAAGAAATCTGGGGGTGGGGTGGGGGTGGGGCAAGTTCTAGTAGCCTTATGTTTGTAAGTGAGAAAAGTAAGGCCAGAGGAGTTAAGCCCCTTGCCCAAGTTCGCTGGGCAGATCATTAGATAATTGCTGGAGCATTCCTTGGCTGCTAATATGCACACACACATGCCTGTGACTCCATGTACTGCATTCCTGCATTCCAAGGGTTCCTGATCCCTGAGGTCAGGCGGCTGAGTGGGCAGCAGAATTCACAAGTCAGTGACAGCAGTGAAGAAGTCCTATGCCAATTGCACCGATGTCCTAGGTCCTAGTAATGGTAGCCTCTTTTACCCCAGAATTCAAGGCTTCTCAGAGGGGCCTAATTAACTCCTAGCAAGGATGCTGTCCCACTGGGATCCTGAGGCCCAAAGAACATTCTCCATTGCTTTAGAAAATAGGCAAGTAATGCGTATGAGAAACGTTTAAAACCCGGGAGAATGAAAATGTGCTGTGTGCGGATTGTGTGACTCATGCACCATGCCGGACTGTGGATTGCAATTCAAATGCATTTATTTGCAGCCAGTATTGCTTAGGTGTATGTTCAACCTACTAGACAGAGGATTGTTTTTCTTGTTTTGTTTTGCTTTGCTTCACCCTAGTACCTGTTTTTGAGTCTAAGGCATTTGGCTGGTCCAGTTGAAGACAAGCCATCAGAACACAGCCAACGAATTGAGTCCTGCAGCTACGGACCCAAACTTCAACCTTCCTGCAGGAAGAGCTTGCATGTCTGTGCATGCCAGCTTCCACCCCCAATACCTGTGCATCCAAGGCTAGAGAGTGAATACCAGTGACAGCCTGTCTTCTTTGGTGCCTATTGTTGGTGCTAACTGCTGTCAGTCAGTTCCAACTCATAGTAATCCTGTCCAGGGTTTCCAAGGAGCAGCTGGTGAGCTTGTACCACCAACCTTGTAGTTCAAACCGACCTTGTGTTCCAGTGCTTACCTTAACAGCGCCACACCAGGGTGCATATTTCTGGAATGATGAGGACTATGCAGTGTATAAACCACCACGCATGAGGCAGTGTTTTGCATTTTAAAGTCAGTGCTGCACTACCTTATTTTCTACCTGTGCTAGTCCCATGTTCTGGTGGTACTCACACTCCCCTCCCCTTGATTTGCAGGACGTTTGACTCTTTAGCCTGCTGACCCTTGAAAGATGAACAGTTCTGACTTCTGGTTGCTCTACAATCACTAATGCTTCCCTGGTGCTCAGGGAGTCTCCAGTAACAGCACTGTAGGACTGGGAACCCTAAAATCAAACATACACACCGATGCCAGGGGTACTAAAGCAAAAGAAAGAGTTTTACACTTAGATAGTCAAGAAAGGTATACCTTCATTTATCAACGTCATCTGAGAGCAGGGCTTGCAGGAAGGCCTGTGAGAGAGATTCAGCATCTGGCTCAAATAGCTTCGGCTCTACAGTTTCTATACAGTCTGGAGAAGCACTTTACCCCTCCCTGGTTACCACAACCACATCTGCAAGATATGCAGAGTGAAGGCCGCATAATTTATAATGTGTAAGACTATGATTATGAACTAGGATTTCACAAATCAAGCCCAGTGGAAACATAACCCGGAGAGTTAGTTAACTTGAAATTGAGCTCATGTCTTTGTACAGGATTTACCACTCGGCCCCATCTGGCTCTTCCTATCCTGGAGTGAGCAGGGCCCTGACCAGCCTCAGGGGTCAGACCTCTTGCTGGTAACAGAAACCTGGGAAAATGCACACATAGCCAGTTTTGTTTGGTCAGCAGAGAATCCCATTAAAAACCTGAGGGACTTTGCCTTCAGATTGGTCATAAGTCACACCACTCCCTATTTTCCATGCCCACCTGCTTCTGAGTGTGCCAGGTCTGCATAGCGCCTTGGAGAATGGGGACCCAGAGGTATTTAGATATTCTCCTGCCTTGGACTTGAGGAGATAGCAGATAGGCAAAGACAATAGGAGAGAGGGTGCTTACTGTGCTGGTCACTCCTGTCCCGGGTGCCGTCCACGGTGCCATCTGGAAGAATCCTCAAGAAGTGGCCCCCGTTGCTGCAGTAGAGGAGTTTGGGCTTTTTGTAATTCCCTGGCGGCAGATTAAACTTCTCGGTCAGGGCTGTGAAGGTTGTGATTTCTCCTTCGGCCATGGCTCAGTCACTCCTGGTTCTGGCTCTCTCAAGACTGTAAGAAATGAAACCAACCTGTAGAACGTTCTTCCAGCAAAGGTACAATGTACACGTTCAAAGAGGGAAAGAGCGCCTCTGGGCAGAGGGCTCTGGCCAGTTAGTGACCACAGACTCCCAGATGGTGCCCACAGTAAACGGGCCAGGGGGCAGGGGGCGGGGGGATTGGCTGCTGGTTATGGAAGGATGGTCCTGGCAAGGGAGGGATTTTCAGTTTTATACTGGACTCAGCTCTGAACCGGGCTGTGCATTTTTTTTTAGAACTTCAAATTTAATCATTTGGCCATAGTTTTAAAAAAAAAGGTTTCGGCCCCTGCTTCTGATCCACACACACACATCCACAAATTAAACACTGAAGTTGCACTAAAATAACACCTGGGGTCTGACTGCAATCCACAAAAGCCTAGAGGCCAGGGCTGAGGTTTTGCCGTCCACCCTCACATTGTTTTGACTTGTACTGCAGGAGGCGGGTAGCACCCGGACCCTCAGACTCTGTGGGCATAGGGAATGTATCAGGGGCCCCGCGACCCTTCACAGCAAAGCTTTAATGTGCAGAGGAAACATTCTGGGTTTGTTGGTTGCGATGGGAGGGGAACCTGGGAAGAAAGCACTTTGGGGTACTAAGCAGGGATTTTAAAACGGCAAACACTATATCAAAGGAGATGTTATGAGACAGATGGTTATGAAGGATCTGTCTGGTTCCTGTCTGCTTCCACGGCTTTCCACAGAGACACAGATCACACAGAGGAATGTAGGCCTGTCCCTTGTGTACCCTAATTGTTTTCTAATATGAGACAAACTTATTATAACCCAGAAACCACCAGTACATGGAACAATCCTCTATACACCCAGTCCCCAAACCAAACCCGCTTCTGTTGACTCAACTCTGACTCATAGCAACCCTATAGCACACAGTACAACTGCCTCACACAGGGTTTTTAAGGCTGTAAATCTTTACAGACGTAGATGGCCACATCTTTCTCCCATGGAGCATCTGGCAGGTTTGAACCTCTCACCTTTTGGTTACCAGCCTAATGCTCTAGCCACTGTGCCCCCAGGGAAACTTTGTATATGCTCACTGTATGCTAATTATATTATTAAAATTTACTATATATATATATATATATTGGTGGGGTTGTTAAGTGCCATCGAGTCGGGTCCGACCCATAGCGACCCTGTACAGGGTTTCCGAGGGTGTAAATCTTTACGGGAGTAGAAAGCCTCATCTTTCTCCCGCGGAGCGGCTGGTAGTTTCGAACCGCTGACCTTAAGGTTCGCAGCCCGATTCGTAACCACTACGCTACCAGGGCTCCTATATATATATAAAATATATAGTAAAAATTCATGAATTAGATCTCTAAGGATTAAAAAAATAATAAGCCAATTAGAACAAATGCCTTTGCGTGTATGTATATCGATGGTTCATTTGTTTTGTACTGCTGAGTTGTATTTGATGGTGTGGCTGTACCACAGAACACAAGAATTTTAAAGCATCTACTTGCTCCACCAGTTAGTTGTCGTTAAGTGTACTGTTTGAACTGCCCTATCTCCACCTAGCTTCTAAGTTTCTTTCACTCAAGTTTGTTACATAGCTCTCCATCTGATGTGAAGCAACTTAGCTCTTCCGAGCACGGGCCTCCTCACACATCACCTCTCCATCAGCACACTAAAGTGACCATGATTCGCCTTCCTTAAAACAGCTAAAACAGCTGTGAGTGGTGTGTTGTTAAGTGCTGTCGAGTTGGTTCAAACTCATAGTGACTCTGTATTGGGCTTCCAAGGAGCAGATGGTATATTTGAACTGCCAACCTTGTGGTTCACTGTCCATTGCTTAAGAGATTATAAACATTTTTTTGTGTATTATTTAGTTTTTTCCCAAGCATTTACTAAATTATATTCCTAATTTGACACAGGAGACAATTTCATATACTATACCCCGCCCCTGCTACCATACAGTTGATTCTGATTCATAGGGGGACAGAGTAGAGGTGCCCCCAAGGCTTTCTGAGACTGCAAAGTGTTAGAGCAGACAGTGTCATTTTTCCCCCCCGTGGAGTAGCTAGTAGGTTTGAACCTTGGACTTTGTGGTTAGCAGCCCAAAACTTAACCCACTATACCACCAGCATTCCTAATTATGTACCAGTCATCACCATGTACATGTACAAATAGTCATTTATGTTGTCAAATTAAGGTGAGCAGAATTTCTTTCTTGTCTCTTGGTTTTCTCAAATGGAGGTCCCTACTTAGCTCTGGGTTGTTAAGGGTGGCCTTCCTCGGTAGATCCAAAACCAGTGGGGGAACCTCCACTAAGTTGTTTTCTAAATGATGGATATAGATTTGGATGGATCCATTTGCATTCTTTCTCCCACCTGGTTGGGATGAAGGGAGACAATTGCACCAGAGGCTGGCTCAGGTTGAAGGCAATAGTTGTGGACAAGCATGACACTCATGCTCACATATGAATGTGTATAGTAGCTATGCAGCATCGGCTTTATCATTGCTGAGCTCTCACCTGCTACATGACCTCAGCCAGAGCCCAGTAGGTCCTCAGGCACCAACTATCACAATGTAACCTGTGCCCATCAAACCCTATGACATCATGGTCTGCTGGTTCCCCTCCACCTTTCCAGTAAGAGCAACATCATAGGGGGCGGAGATAATCCCTTCACGGCTATTGTTAGTTTCCAACTGTCGTCATGTCGACTTCAACTCATGGTGACCCCTGTATGTCAGTGACCCCAGCACTCCATAGAGTACACTTGGAACTGTGCTGTAATGGCTTGAGTTTTTGAGACCTCCTGGCTTTTCTTCTGAGGTGCCTCTGGAAAGACTCGAACAGCCAACCTCCCAGTTAGCTGCTGAGTACATTAACCACTTGTACCACCCAAGGACTCCTTCATGTCTATAGTGACTTCATGGCTATTCTGACTTCAGATTGTCTCCCATAACACATTTCCATTTATATTCATACCCACAAACAAGAAGGGGACATGTTGACTCCTGAAAATAAGCCTGGAAGCAACATGAAGCTGATAGATTATGGCAGTGGGATTAATAAATCAGCTAAAACAAAAAAAGAAATTCATTTTCATTTGCTGAAGAAAATATCAGAAAAGCCCTTATTTTTAACTTTATGCACAATTTACTTATGCATATTTTAAGCAATGATTTCCCCTTAAGTTTTCTGAGAGTCCAGTATTGGCAAAGGATAGAATTAAAGGCAGTATATGATACAATACAACCGTAAGGTCACAACCCTAGCAGACCATTGGGGATTGAAATTGCTAAAATAAAGTGAGCCCATGGACAAGGACATAGCCACAGAGGGCTAGAGCTGACCGTGAAGCATCCAGCTGATATGAAGGTGGGGAGAGTGCACAAAAATACCCAAACTTGCAGATAGTACCCATTTGACCTAGCCTCAATGGCTTGATAATCAGAACTCAACTAGAGGAAGATAAATAATTTTTGATAAAGGAAACAAGTGTAAATTGCTACAATTTGATGAACTTGACATATACTTATGAATGTAGTATAGCTCAAAATACCAACTGAAAAGGAAGGAGTCTTCACATCAAGTATCAATGCTATCCCCTCTGTATACAGGGTAAATAGGGATGGGCCACTTAGACATTAGCTACCTAAAATGAGGGGGCAATAAAGGCACGAAGTGACTAGCTTACAAGTTTTCAAGAGGGAGTTTAGTTTAAGAGTGTGTGGGGGAAGATAGAGTCCCCACTGAATAGTTTTCATCTTGTCTCAGTGGGTCTGGTGAAAAGAGATGGGGGTAAGATTCTTATGATTCAATAGTGAGTAATTGTTACCATGACTAATCGTGACTGTCACAACTGTAAAGATAGAAGTTTTGTAACAAAAATGAGGGAGTAGTTAATCTTAAGTCCAGAAGCAGAGGACCCTAGGACTATCAAGGGAGAAGAGCACAAGTGGAATATGGGACTCTGTCCAGAGAAAGAGTGGCACCAGAGATGGAGGCAGAGATGGGGACATGGAGAGAGGGAGCAGCTGAGGACTCTAGACTCATGGAAAGAGAGGGACTAAGTTCTGGCATCCAGGAGGCAGGCTTGCAGAATGTGCCCTTTGGTTGTTTAAATTATTATATGTTCCCGAGTGTTTTTGTGTACATCTCCCCATCCCACCCCCCAAAATCAGTCTTACAAGAACATGTTGAATGTCAATCAATAAAATGTTTCTCCATTTAAAAAAAAAAAAGAAAAAAGAATCCATGAACTAAGAGAAATCAGGCAATAAGTGTAATAGAAATTTACAAATACTTCTTTCCTTTCTTATTATCTTTGTGTTTGCTGCCAAGGGAGGGAGTTGTCTGTATGGGGGAGTACATTGGAAAATGAAGAAGATCAAGCCCAGTGAATTCTCTGTCATGAGTGGATGCTAAGCCCAGCCTTTGGAAGTATGGAGCATTGGTGAGGTTTGGGGAAAGGCAGAGGTCTTCTAGGTTTATCAGTGATACCAAGATGAGAAAATCACAAAGCCTATTGGAATACCACGTAAGGCTGACCTAGTTTCTCAACTGTGGGCATGAGAAGGGATTGAGAACTCCGACATATGAACAGGATGTTAAGTACAGACTCTTGTCCAGGAATACACTAGTCACTTTTCAGTGTGGTCAGAATCAGCCACTGCAGAGCTTCTGTTATTAGCAAATTGGCTCTGGAATCTGGGTGAGTCAGTCATTCTTCCCTAGATGTTTCCTCTAATAAGCCTCATGTAACTCCTCGTAGAGTTTTCTAAAAGATGAAATGGGTACAATATTTGCAGAAATTTCAGGTCAGCAGAAAAAAGGAAGCCATCCCAGGAGCTGGATCGATACAATGGCAGCAGCCATGAGCCTGTGCATGACTAATTGCAAGGATGGTGTAGGACCAGGCTGTATTTTGCTTGGTTGTACATTGGGTTGCTATGAGTTGGAACCAATTCAACAAAGCCTAACAGCAACAACATTCACAATAACACGTTAAAAG